TATATATATATGTGTGTGTGTGTATATATATATATATATATATATGCGATATAAATATTTCATGTTGAGAGTGTGCAACTTTAATTCTTGAAAAAGCCTTTTCTTTGAAGTCTCAATTACCTTCAAGTCACGACCTATCATGGTGATATTGTTAACATAAACAAGTAGTGCAAGGACTCCCCTTGAAATTACAAGTTTCACAAATAAGAAAAAGAAGAACCACAACAATGAAAGCTTCCAAGATCTTAGTAACACAACGATGATGGCTGCAGCTTAAAGAAATGCAAAGGAAAAAAAGATTTAAGCCTCTGATACCATAAAAAGAATTGGAGATAATTTAGTGTTTCATTCCATCATTTACGTTGATTTTTTAGAAGTATAGAAGAACGTATAGTAGTAAAAATGTACAAATTTTAGGGGCAGAAATTTAGCTAGAATTTAATTACAGTAGAACAACTCATAGATTATAAGGTGGAAATGAGAGTGAATGGCTGGCTGGCAGGAGACAGGATGGCATGGGCTAGCTGGGGTGGTTAGGGCGGATGGCTGATAGACTGGCTAGGTTGTTGCAGGGAGAAATGTAGGGGCATGATTTCAAGGCTGCTGATTTTAACAGATATAACTTAATTGATGCATACACAAAAGAAAATTATGATTAAAACTCAAAGTTCGCATCAGTATTTCAAGAGTAAGCGTTCTGAATGCCAAGACTAAGGCATCATGAAAGGCTTTCAAATTTTTGATAAGCAACACAGCCAACAGTAAGTCAGGTACTGGTCTACTCCCACACAGTTTTTCTCTATTACCCAAAAGATCAAGACTGAAAATACCAAAAGGTACCCAGGATCATTAGAAGGAAGAGAGACAGGCAAAACTATGGTATTTTCAGCTACCATTTTAGTTATAGCATTTTAATTGAGAATATGACAAGAATGGTCCTTTATTTTTTTTATAAAGGACCAAAATGGTCCTCAACTATATTAAATGATCATCATGATCCCTCGAGTTTTTAAAAAGAAATAAAAATAGCCTCATGGTAGAACTATTTTGGTTCATCTTTAAGGATTTGAGGGACTAAAATAATCCTTTAATATAGTTGGGCCTATTTTGATCTTTCATAAAGAGTCAAAGGACTAATTTGGTCCTTTTCTCCATTTTAATTATAGCATACCAAAACCTACAACAACATTCACATTGACATTGTAAAAATTGTAATAGACAAAAAGGGAGAGTTTCTCTTACGCGCATAGCAGGTTTAAGGAATAACTTAACAGAAGGTAAATCATAATGAACAAATAGTCTAAATTAACACTAAAGCAACAATGAGCTATTAGAAAATCCTAAAGCAAACATGAATCTGATGTGCGTATACAGAAACCCAAAAGTCATCCATGATCACTAAAGGTTAAACGATTACAAGATAAAAATAAAAGAAAAAATCCAATCTGAAGCCAGGAAATGCATGTCTATATAGTAGCAGTTGCTCCCTGCTGAATTAATCAACTAAAAAGTTAATTTTAACAGCATGAAAAAGCATTAATTTAGCAGAAAATGAGTACCTGAATACGAAAAATGTTTTCTGCAGGCAAATTTTCCTCAAAAACCTATCAGAAGAAAGGCAATAACTACAGGTCAATATGGACAATAAAATCCTGATTTAATAAATTATAGACTCCATTTAACACTTTTCTAGAACTAGTTTTCTTAAATGGGTACAAAGAACAATCCACAGCATGCTATCATTGATTCAACCAAATACAACATGAAATCAAAAAGACATACCGGGCTATCAATGTCAATCACATCCTTCACATACTCCAGAAGCTTCCCACTCTTCTTGTGTTCAATTTGATTTTCCATGTATTTCTGGGCCATCCTAACCCTGAGTTCCTTGGCAAGGTCACTTTTACCATATGATACATATCCATGAGTGCGGGTAGAAGTTGAAGCTCCTACAACTTGATCTCCTGGAACCCTATCAAGCGGCTGAATTATATCCTCCAGTAAAGCATCTCCTGGCGCATCACTAAATTGACTCAGTTCTTGAGGACGAGATACAGATGAGTGCTTCACGGCCTTGAAATAGATTATTAAATAATTGTTATTAAGATAAACAGAACCATGCTCACTCAAGCTTATCTAATCAAAGACCAGCTTTAATCCCATAATTAATTCAGATGCTATGCTCATTCAAGTTTCTCTAATCAAAGACCAGCTTTAATCCCATAATTCACTAATACCAGAGGAAGATGAAAGCTATTTGCACCAACAATTCAGACGCTAAATAATTAAAAACATGTTACAGGATCCAAAACATTTAAGTTCGCTGATTTTTTTCAATAAAGAATGGAACTGTCTCACCTTTTGAGAATTGGTTTTCAGCATTCCAGTCCCAAAGGAAAATAGGCTACTTCCATCATGGCTGGAGCTTCCTTCATTATCATGCTCAATATCTAAATCATTTTCTTCATTGACTACAGGGATTCGCACCAGTCCATCTGTTACATCATAAGAAGATTCTTTGCATGTCTCTGGATTAGTAGCAGAAGCTTCTTTAGCTGAAGATGAGCCTATCATTGGTTTTTGGAGTAAAACTAAAGTAGGATCTCTTGCAGAAAGCACATCTTTTATACTATCAACGCTTCCAGAGTAGCCATCCTGTGCAATGCTACCACCTCTGCTCCCATCAAAGCTGTTTCTTTCAAAAGAGTTGGTAGCAAAATTATCCATTGTAGGGTTCTCCTATATCACAAACATAGCGAGTACTAGATCACATCAATGCACATGAGTAGAAATCATCTTGAGTATGACACTAAATAATAATGCTAAAAATATATGAATTGTAAGATTATTTAACATATCAATACATACAACTTATCACATAACAATAAAAAATTCCCGTAAGAGTTCCACAAAACTTCACCCTCGCGCCTTCAGCCAATGAAAAACAGCCAAATTTGAGATGTTTGGTTCATTATTATTTGAATGCCGATGATATCTAAATTGCAGTGTTTGTATGTCAAACATAATCTGTCATTTGATATACATAATTTTTTTTGTTCAGTGGATTCCTTTCTAAAGATAGTAGTAATATATAACAGTCCACATATATTAAAGGTGTAAATGAGTCAAGTCAAGTATCTGCCTAATCGAGCTAAGCTTATTTAGTTCTTATTGAGCTCGAGCTCAAACTCGTTTACTACACTTGAGCTCGAATAGTTAAAAAAATTATAGGCTCGAGCTTGACTTGATTGTTGAGCTTGATTTCTTAGTTTTAAATTAAAAAATATATATATTTTTAATAATTTTTATTTTTTAACATATAATTAATTTGATAATATTAAAATATATTATATAACGCTAATTTATATTAAATATTAAATTTATTTTAATTTAATTGAGCGGATCAACAAGCTTTCGAGCCAAGCTAGACTAAGCTCGAGCTCGTTTAAGATACTAGCTGGAGTATAGGCTCAAGTTAGAACTCATGACTCGATAAGCTCGATTCGCGAGCTCATTAACAAATCAAGCTCAAGCCGGTTTGGTTTACTTACAACCCTAACATATATCTAGCCTTCCAAAATTTTCTCTCATTCGCTGAAGACGCAATAAAGCTAGCTATATATATGTTGGTTGCAGCTTGGCTAAAAAGTTCATATAGAAGGATACTAATTTATGATGCAACTGAACCAAACAACTTATATATCTTATTGAAATGATATTGCAAAGCACCCAATATGTCAATGACCAAAGAGCCTGTTTTTAGAATGGAAAGTCCTGGGACTTTGGGAATCCAAATGAGACAAGCAATTATAAGGAAAACTTGTTATTACCTAATTTATTAATACAAGAATATTTACCGATCTGAAGCAATAAAAAAGTCATATAATCATTTCCCTTGTGGATCCTTGTAATGTGTTCCATGATAAGAAAAATATTCTGAAGTCTAAGCTCACTTAAAAGAGTGAACCAATCAGGATCAAGTCCAAAGATGTTAAAGAACTATAAAAGAAAAAGCAACTGCAGAAGGTAAAGGGTGATTCAATGCAAGAAAGGTTAAGGAAGCTTTAGAACCCTTATTTCAAGGAGTTAAAAAAATTCAGCTAATTAACATACTTGCTCCATGTTGGCATCCTCACACTTGATTCTACCCTCAGAAGAGCCTTCAGTAGCAAGAACATCAAGGGCCGAGTTCCTATCAGTGATTGCACCATCTTCTTCAATGCTCCTGCAATAAGAAACTCTACTGTTGAATGAGTAATGGTTCATGAGTTTAAAGGTCCTTAGCTTTATAAAGCAAACAAAATCTAAACAGGATTATTTAGATTATATAACAAAAGCAAGAAATATTTGACAGTCGAGGAAATCTCATGAGCAGATATGTTTAACGGGAACGCTTGGTAAACAAAAAAATAAAAAAATAAAAAAAAATAAAAACAGATACTGTAAATAAATAAATAAAAATAGGAAAGATACAAAACATACAAGATAAAAATAACAATACAACAATGACAAGCCTTTATCTCACTATGTGGGGTTAGCTACATGAATATTTTCCCCATTGTGTTCTGTTAAGGGTCAAATTCTCATCTAAATCTAATAAAGAAATGTAGTTTCTAATATTTTCTAACCAAGTCTTTTTAGGTCTACCTCTACCTTTCTTAATATAAGTCAAATCTAATATATCTATTTTCCTAACCGGGTCATCGGAAGGCCGCCGTTTTATGGGACCAAACCATCTAAGGTGATGCTCTCTAATCTTATCTTCCACTGGAGCTACTCCAACCTTTTCACATATGTGTTCATTTCATATCCTGCCTTTAAGAGTAAAGCCACTCATCCTCCTGAGCATCCTCATCTCTGCAACACTTACCTAAATATTATGCTTCTCTTTTAATGGCCAACATTCTGCACCATAAAGCATTGCAGGTCTCACTACTATCTTATAGAATTTTCCCTTAAGTTTGAGAGAGACTTTTCAATCACATAAGAAGCACGATGCATTCCTTCACTTCAACCATCCAACTTGAATTCTACTAAAAATATCCCCATCTATTTCACCATCACTATGAACAAGATACCCAAAATATCTAAAACTCTTATTAATGACTTGATAGCCCAAAGTCACAATCCCCCCACTAGATCTATTATTACTAAAATTACAGTCCATATATTCAGTTTTAGATATACTCAAATGAAAGCCTTTAGACTCTAATGTTGACCTCCATAATTCAAGTTTATCTTCAACTCCGTCTCAAGTCTTATCAACAAGAAGAATATCATCAGCAAAAAGCATACACCATAGTATAACCTCTTGCAAAAGTCTAGTGAGAACATCCATGACTAAAGCAAAAAGATATGGGCTTAAGGATGATCCTTGATGTAATCCAACTAAAATAGGAAAATACTTGGTCAAACCACCTTGTGTTTGAACAGCTCCTGCATAAATATCCTTAATGACTTGAATATAAGCATTATTAACCCCTTTTTTATGTAGAACTCTCCATAACACTTCTCTTGAAACTTTATCATATGCTTTCTCTAAATCAATAAAAATCATATGTAGATCCTCCTTATTCTCTCCATACTTCTCCATCAAACCTCTCAATAAGTGTATAGCTTCTATAGTAGACCTACCTAGCATGAATCCAAATTGATTTTGAGAAAGATTAGTGTCACGCAATAACCTATGCTCCATAACTCTATCCCATACTCATCATGAAACAGTGCTTACTAAAAATTATGTTGAGGTTCCTACCATAGTTCACTTCATATAACCTCAAAAGACATGGTATTTCATACTATTACAATTTGTTTAAGTCACGCCAAGTAGAGATTGAGTTTGTGATGTACCTACCATCATTGTCAACTATTTCATTGTTAGCTACGTTATCAAAATCTTATAGCTGCATGAAGTTTGGAGGCGCCAAAAACCCAAGCCTCTAAATCTGTGTATTCTTCGGACTTATTCATACTGCTCCCTAGCGTGTGGCCAACTCTTCAATTAGATGATCAAGTGGTCCATCTCCTCCACCAAGGAAAACTCTTGTAAAGTTTTTAGAGAAGATTTTTTTGCTGGCTGATTGAATTGATGCAGTAGAATTTGGCTAATTTAATCGAGTAAATACTAATTTTTGTAGATTAACAAAAAAGCTGAAGTGAGCTACACAAGGAGCCAAACTGAGTGTAAAACCCGCAAAATGCTATTTTAGGCTTCGCAAACTTTTTAAAGCGCCGCGACGAATTTTTAAGTAAGATTTTCAATGTTAAAGGAATTTAACGAAAATAATTTTAGAAAATCCTACGCGAAATTCTGATCATTTTGATAAATAACCCTTACCTAATTTAGCCTATTTTAGGAGTTAAAATTTAACAAAGTTTCATAATACCCTTTTTATCCCTACCCGTTTAATATGATAAATTGATTTAAGGGCATAGAGGACATTTGGCAAAACCCTTTTCTCCCTTAATAGTGCAAAAGGAACCCTCTCCCTCCCCATTCACGTGAAACCGAGCGACCAAACAGGAGAGGCGGACGGACGGGTGTTGACCTCGTTTTTCGCTCGAATACTGTCGAGTGCATTCGATCAATTCGATTAGACCTCGTCGAGCCCAATTTGATCTCGAGTCGGCTAGAATTGAGTCGAATTAGACCCAACAATATTTAATTACCCTCGAACAATTTATCTCAGCCCCGACGAGCCGCATTGAGCCCGAGTTCATTCGAATTGAGCTTAATTTTGACTCAATTCAGGCTAAGATTATTTCGACTCAACTCCAATGCTTTTAGTGAATTTTGAATGTAATTCCAAATCAAGTAGTTGGATCCGACGACTCTCGTCGTGTTGAGATTCGGACTCTGCCATTGCCAGGCTTCTCAGTCGCATGGTACACTCATTTTAGAACGAGGCAGACCCTCGTTAGCAGGATTTTCAGCAGACAGGGGATGTTTTCATGTTTGGAGTGAGGCAGAACGTCGGGAGAGACGTTTAGAAGGCTCGGGGAAGCCTTCAGCTAGGGTATTCGAACTCGCCCCTCCTCTCTCCTAGTTCTCGGTCTTCCGCTCTCCAGCTCTCGCTCTCGCCCTCTCTTGGCTCTAGTTCGGAAGCAGCTCAAGGCCAAAATGGCTCTCGGCTCCCGATCCCTCTCCGGGCTTCTCATTTCTCCTCCCTGATCGCAAGGAGACCGAAGGCTCTCCTGTGCCTCCTTCGGTCGGAACTCAAGAGCCGAAGCTCTTGCCCTCTCTCCCTCTCTCGCGTGAGCCACAGGACCGACGCCGAGCCTCCCGTTCACGTGACTCCAGCCAGAGCTAGGACTTTGCTCCCGTCCTACCTGCAGTAACCTAGTCCAAATCCGTAACTCTGTCCGACGACCCGACGTCGTCTCTAGTCTCCAAACCAAACAGCAGCCAGCATCTCCGACTTCCCTGCTCTCGACGCCGACATCCCTCGCACGACAGGACTGAGCCCGATGGCAGTTAGCTATCCCGACGCCTCCAGCCAAGGTCCGAACGCCCTAGTTCCCTCTGTCTCTGTCATTCACGTACAGCAGGAGGTGAAAACCCCCCTTGCCTTGGCTGTTGACCGAATCCCCCATCTGTTTCTCTGGATTCGCGAGATCCAGACGAGGCTGAGAAGCTCCCACCCGAAGCAGGCTTGGTCGGAACCGAGCCCCTGCTTCCGCCGCCCTTTGCACGTCAAAAAAGAAAAGGAAGGTCATCAGCTCACCTCCTCTTTCCCTAGTCGAACCTCTCCATAACAGCAGGTAATCCTTTACTTTGCTCTCTTCCCTCTTCTTCCATTTCTTCTCCTACTTAATGTCTTTGAGAAGAAATCATGGTGTTTTAAGAGACTTAAACCTGCATCTGAAGTCTTCTAACCAAATGTTTTGCTGGCATGCATAGATACAAGAACTTTGCCTTATCTTTTTGTTATCATTGAGAGATTCGACATGACTATATTTGCTAGATTTCTCCCAAAATTTCTTTGATAAAGTGTTTGGAACTCTCTCACTATTGTTATTTTCGTTGCGAGTTTTGTTAACTCCTTTCCTAAGCTTGGGTAGCCATGTTCTCCCTTCACTAAGCATGCATATAAAGTATTTGATGGAATGTCTTATAGAGGTCTTGCTTAGAGTGAAATGGTTTGGATGCAAATTTACCCTTCTATGTTAACTGAAAGCTTTTGTTATTCTTGTTGGTGCTATGAAGGGTACATAGTATGTGTATTTGGAAGGACATTGGGTTGATGGATTTGGTTGTCTTATTCTTATTTTGCTTTAGTAATGTGATATTGGAGATGGCTTGATCCTTGTCTAATGATCCATTCATGATATGGTTGACACTTAGCTTATAGTAAATCTTGATGACCTTTGAGTATACTCTTTGGTGATGTTTCCAACCAAGTGTATATTTAGAGATTGGTGAGACTTTGGTTTAAGACAAAACTTTGCTTTAATTACAACCCATGAATCTTATGATTGGCATTTTGTTCTTGATGAATATTGACGAATTTTAAGCAAGGTTTTGGTGATGCGTTACAATTAAGTGTGCACATGAACTTTTCATAAATAAGTATAGATGTAAAGTACTAGTTGTTATGCTCTCTTCAAGTATCTCTACGAAACCCTTTGTGCATACTTTGTGATGGCCATTGTTGAGCTTGCTATAATATACATTGAGTTGTCTTATTTTGGAGCGGATAGTGGATGTATGAACTTTACTTTTTGAATCATGTTATGTGGTTTAGTGGCCTAAGTGTGACATAGTCAAACATCTAAAAGAAATTGTTCTATATTATTTCTTAGACTTCGCATGCTAGTTGTTTAACCAAATGCCCTAGAGAGGTAGTCCTTTTCAATTACTCACTTTATTTTGGTATCATTCATGCAAAATTTCAATGCAAAATGCCACAAGCCCAAATGGTTATTAGTATGGTAGTTTAGTTGGCTCTTATTCTATGCATGTGGAGGGAGTGGGACAAAATGCATATGAGATCTTTATACTTACATTTAAAAGTTTCCTAAAATTATCAGCGAAATTGTTTAGTGATTGGTGACCACAAGGCACGCCTTGTGGAGTTTTGTTTTAGTTCTCTTTATCTTGTTTTCCTTTGTAGATATACAAAACAAAAAAAATCTGAAATGTATGATTCCCCATTGAGTCATTGAATGCTTATTGTAGTTACTTATGTGATGTATCATCCTCATTAGTAGCATAGAAAGTGTTTG